AAGTCAAAATCTTTATTTCCATGCATTGTCGGAGCGAAAAAGCTTAATATTTTTAGACAATTGTGTTTTAACCATTGCAGCAAAATTGTAATAAGTTGTTTTGAGCTCAGGAGCGATTTTTCATAAGAAACAACCATGTAAAACGGGAAAAATTCATCTATAAAACAACAAAGGTATTGAACACAAGGGGTATCGTTGTTGGGATCCTCTCTCCCAGCGACTTCGTATCTCTCGTCATGTAGTCTTTTGGGAACACAAAATGTTTTCCTCTCTCTCTCTCTTCCGTTTGTCCGTTCCCTCATCCTTTTTGTTTTTTACTGACCCTTCCACGGATCTGTTCTCTGATGAGTTTACCCCACCGCCCTTGCCCGCCTCTCTCGAGTTCTCTGATGAGCTTACTCCACTGCCCCTACCAGCCTCTCTCGAGCCTGCCTTGCCTACCTCTGATGAGCTTACCCCACCGCCCTTGCCCGCCTCTCTCGAGTTCTCTGATGTGCTTACTCCACCGCCCCTACCAGCCTCTCTCGAGCCTGCCTTGCCTACTGGTCTGTCCCATGCACTTGCTACCTCTGATGGTCCTGTTCTTGCTTCCGCGGGATCCTCCCCTCCTGGTGAGTCTCTCCCTTTGGCTCCTTCTGCCTCTGCTCGACCACACCGGGTAACCCAACCTTCTACTCGTCTTCGTGACTTTATTGTTGGTTCCACTGCTTTTTCTACTTATAAACCAACCTCCTATCGTGAGGCTCGCTCTAATCCTCTTTGGCAGCAAGCTATGACTGATGAATTGCAGGCTTTAGACCAAACTCACACTTGGGACATTGTTGATCTTCCTCCTAGCAAGACTACCATTGGTTGCAAATGGGTCTACAAAATCAAAACTTGTTCTAATGGATCTATTGAGCGCTACAAAGCCCGTCTTGTTGCCAAAGGCTTCAACCAAGAATATGGTATTGACTATAAGGAGACCTTTGCTCCTGTTGCTCGTTTCACCTCTGTTCGCAGCCTGATTGCGTTTGCTACCACTCGACATTGGGATCTTTATCAAATGGACGTGAAAAATGCTTTCCTTAATGGTGTTCTTCTTGAGGAGGTCTACATGCAACCTCCCCTTAGGTCTACTTATCCACCTCATAAAGTCTGCAAACTTCAGCGTGCTGTATATGGTCTCAAACAAGCTCCGCGCGCTTGCTTTACCAAGTTTAGCTCTACTATTCATGACTGTGGTTTCACCTCCAGTTCTTATGATACTGCTCTTTTTATCCGGAACACTGCTCAAGGGACCACCTTGCTTCTTCTTTATGTGGATGATATGATTATCACCGGTGACGATCTTGATGGTATTCTATGCCTTAAACAGTTTCTTATCCATCATTTCGAGATGAAAGATCTTGGTCCTCTCAGCTATTTCTTGAGTCTTGAAATCTTCCATGATTCCACGGGGTCTTTTCTCTTTCAGGCTAAGTATACCTCTAATATTCTCACCCGCGCTGGTCTTACGGATTGCAAGACTGCCTCCACTCCCATGGAGCCTCAAAGTCGTCTTACACCTCTTGATGGCACTCTTCTCTCTGATGCTACCCTATATCGTCAGCTAGTTGGCAGCCCTGTCTATCTCACTGTTACTCGTCCTGATATTGCCTATGCCGTTCATATTGTCAGCGAGTTTATGTCAGCTCCTCGTACCCCTCACTATGCTGCATTAGTCCGTATCCTTCGTTATCTCAAAGGTACCTTGTTTCATGGACTTCATTATTCCGCCCGCTCCTCTCTCCAGCTTCGTGCTTTTTCCGATGCTGATTGGGCTGGGGATCCTACTGACCGGCACTCTACTACCGGGTTCTGCTTTTTCTTGGGTGATTCTCTTATTTCTTGGCGCAGTAAGAAACAGTCTCTTACTGCTCGCTCCAGTACTGAGGCTGAATATCGTGCTCTTGCTGATACTACTCAGGAGCTTCTCTGGCTTCGTTGGCTTCTTGCTGACATGGGTGTTTCTCCCTCTGGTGCTACTGCCCTCTTTTGTGACAATCAAAGTGCTCTTCAAATAGCTCACAATGATGTTTTTCATGATCGCATATTCGTCAACACGTCACTCGTGGTACTGTCCATCTCCATCCAATCTCCTTTGCTGATCAACCTGCTGATATCTTCACCAAAGCTCATTCTCCTGGCCGCTTCGTTGAACTTGTCTCCAAACTCCAATTGGTTGATGTTTGTCCTCCTTGAGTTTGAGGGGGGCTGTTAACATATTAATATCATTATTAATATAATATGTTACTATAGTATAGTATGTATATAATAGGAATATATTATAGTATGTATATAATAGCTTTCGGCTTGTCCTTGCTTTCGGCCGCCCACCTTCTTTCGGCCTACTTTTCCTTATTATAGTAAATTATATCATAATGATGTTTTGTATCCAGCTCCTATATTATGGAGCCTCTATTTGGTTTCTATATAGCGTGTTAATAACAGAGAGTTCTCTTTCAATATCACTCTCTCAACTCTCTCTCAACTTGTTTCACAATATAAATTCCACACTTATTATGAGTCTCATATAAGTTTTACATTCATGTTTTTATTTTGGCAAAAAAATTACAACAAGACAAAAAAAGATTTGTCATTTTAAAACTAAAAAGTTAAATAAAAAAACTAAATAAACAAAAAAAATCTCAAAATAAAAAAATTTTAAAAATTAAAAAACTAACTAAAAAAATCATTATCACACGACGATTAAAACTATTAATAGAATATTTATAATCTTTGGGAGTAAGGATCCTCTAGAGTGATTTTTTCCTAAAGTTTCCTAGAGTGTTACATTGTGTGGTTGAGATTTACTGACAAGTCACATCAATTTTTCTTATGTGACTTGCCAGTAAATCTCAACCATACAATGTAGTACTCTAGAAAACTTTAGAAAAATTTCACTCTAGAGGATCCTTGGTGAATCTTTGGGTTTGGGCCAACAAAAATTACCCAAAGGAGACACGTGAGACTCGTGGAAAATTCTCGAGAAAGAGTAGGACATCCAAATATGATATGAATAAAATGATAAAAGTTAAAATATTCTGATAATACATATTCCCATATAGAATATAATAAAATTTCATTTGGCATTGATTTATATAATCAATTTTTTTGTGTTGGAACTTTTTGAACCTAGTTTGATTTGATTTTTTGATTTTTTTTAATTTTTGTAAGAGAAAAATTGTAATAATTATAGGTTGAATGTAATATTTTGTCTTATTAACTTATTCTTTTTAAATTCCAAAATGATAATCAAACCAGGACTAAGAGGTGTTTTGAACGATGATTAAAAGTTATTTTTTTAACTTTTTTGTGAGAAAGAGAAATAGGTTAAAAGTTGAGATGTGACTTTTAACCTATTTTCCAAAACATCCTGAGTTCAACTAACTTCACCCAAAGATAATATCTAATTGAAAATGATATATTACTTGCAGAGCAAGACAACAATATCATTATTTATAGAAATTAGAAGAAGAGGGATGCTATTTCTTCGCTCACAAGTACTCTTTTGGATCTTTATCTCTCTTCAAAAATTATTGTTGATAATTACATAATCAGAATTTTAGGTGAATAAAATAAAGAGATAATTAGGATTGATTTAAGCATAACTTATTTTTTATTTTTTTACTTATTATAGAAAAACATGTAAAAAAAATAAAGATTCAAATAAATCAATAAACCATTTATTTTATGTGTTACTAAAACAAGCCTTCATATTTTTATTTTTTTTTGGGTGGTGTATGGCACTAAGTTTATGAATTATTTTGTTTTAGTAATAAGAACTTAATTAATAAAATTATTTAGTAAGAATAATAAATTATTGTTTTAAATAATTTTACAAATTATTTTATAAATCTGTAACAAAAAAATATGGGACTGACTATACTTTCTTCAAACTTCAGTGGAGGCAAATGTAATTTAACCCCCCCAAAAAACAAAATGAAAGAGAAACAAAAAGAAAGAAACACAATCCCATGGGTTGGGCCGAAAGATGTGGATTAGTAACACAGTTGAAATCCAACTAAAATGGGCTGAGCCTATAAAGCCCTTGAAAGGCCCACCCAAAACGAAGACCTATCCAAAACTGCAATGAGTGTCAACTCGCAGGAGAACACACCATCAATCGTTTCTCCACTCAGATTGAAGAGTCGAGGCCGCGCCACCGACACGTCGCCATCGCCGCCGCCGCCGCCGCAACAACTTCCACCGCCACCGTATAATTTTGAGGTTTGGTTAGTAACTTGTGTTTTACCCCAACTATGCAGCACAAATTTGTACAAATTACTCACGATTTCATCATTTCGTTCAGGTATATACACATTTGTATGTATGTATGTGTGTATGTGTATCCTGTGTGTCGATGTACTTTGCTTCTTAATTTTGATCTGTTTGCGTTAATGTGTTGTAAAATTACTTCTTCATCGTTGTAAGCTTTGATTTTTTGTTAGTGATTAATTTAGACACAGTTTCTCCTAATTGGCTTCTTTTTTTTTTTTGTGATAATGTGCAGACATTTTCTCTATACAAATTTTGATTTTTTTAAATTTTTTTTATATATATCTTGTGGCAGCATAGATTTGCAATCATGTCTTGGTGCACAATAGAATCTGATCCTGGTATGTTTTACCTTTTTCATATATGTTCTAATGTTTTACATCTCTATGCTGTAGTTCCTATTTTTTTATACTAATTTTATCTTTTAAATATATCATTAATAAAAAGATGGCAAATTTATGTAATCTTTTGAATCCATAATTATGAGAGGAGGTTTTAACAAGAAAGCGGTTAAGCATCTAAGAACTTGCTTGTGTTTATTTCAACCATGTGGGTGGTGCATTAGTTTTACGTTATTAATAGCTCAAATCAACAACTTGCCGAAGAAACTCAATACCCTTCTTTTGCCCATTATGCACAAAGTTGAAATGCTATCAAGGGGCATAAACATCTCTTTTTTATTGACTATGTTGGCATAAGTTGCTAGCATGACCATTTAATGCACAAACACAAATCTCCCAATGACTATGGTGCATTTATCTTTGTTTGGAAAATGCATTCATGACAATTTATTGTCGTCGTTGAAAACATTATGTAAAGATTGAGAACATTCTTTTCTATTGAAAGCACGTCATTCGGCATTA